AGAGTTGCTGGGAGTCAGGCAGTATATACATTTTATTATTGTCGTCATCGTCATCATCTAAGTTTCTGCTGTGGTTCATGGTGTACTAAACAATTTGTATCACCATGGTTTATTGCAATAAACTAGTTAGTACATTTATTTCCAACTATAGGTTTTAGTAAAAATCCATATAAAATTACAACAATCCTTATCCACTCAATTCACCCCCCCCCACAAAGTAACAGCAGTATCTGTCAACATCTGCATTCATATCTTCCTTGCAGTCACTGCAAACAAAGCAACATGATTTATTAGATGTTGGTCTACATTGGTCAGCAGGAAATAGATTGCAATAAACTATGATTAGCTGGGTTCACACAATATACTATGCCATAAACCACGATTTATAGAATTTAGTGGCTAGTGTCACATTGTACTCTAAATTCAAGCCATACAAATCACATTGTGGCTTAATGTGATGTACAAACTCAGCTCCTGGTTCTTGTATAAGTCACTTCATGATTTTGTAGTTTTGTGGTGTTTCTGCCAAGTTGCTTTTTCTTCCTTTTTGAAGTTGCAGCATTCAGGTGCTGCAGTGAGATTTGGTGGGGAAAGGAGATAGGTGGGAAACAGAATTGACAAGTGCACTTCAGAGAGCTTGGACTCCAAATCCCATCAGACTCAGCTAATCCAATGACAAGAAGCTGTGAGAGATGTAGCCCAAAATACTGAGGATATCAGCTTGTCTACTCCATTTTTTTTTTAAATCCTCTAAAGAAGTAGCATGATAATTTGCCTAATATATAGGAATGGCAAGTGACTATCCCCCCACTCCCATGCCCGAACACCCCTCTTGTCCCATTATCATTTCAATTTCTGTGCAGCAGGCAGCTGTTACAACCATGGGACCAAGGATCAGCAATCGAGGGTAACAATGGCAGCAATCCATGGAAAAATAGTTGCCTTCCGTCAACAGCACAAGGGCCTGGTGCCGTGTTATGCTCTCAGGAAAGAAAGACTTTTGCATTGACATCTCTGCCTGACAGCCAAGAGAGGATTTCTGTCGGACCAGACAGGGTGTGCCAAGGGCTGGAACAGCAAGAACTTAGCAGATGGGCTTCACAGACTACTGGCACCAGACCACCGCTCCATGCCCTAGCAGGCACCAGCCCTTTTGTGGATGCTAAATTTTTAATTCTGAAATTTAAAAGAACAAGCAAATGTCCTGGGGGTTTCAAGCTGCTTCTTGATTGAGAGCAGGCAGACGCAGCGGCTGTCAAACCAAAGTAAACAGCGCCTCTTTGCTCGCCTAATTAAGAGCACCAATCTTTACCTCTTCAAACCAGTCAGCAGTCTTGATTTCCCAAGGTCCTCAAGTGCTCTTCTCGTTGTTAAAGGGCTATTCATCATGGCCAGCCATTTTTTTTCCTCCCAAGAAGCAAGCAAAATGGGAAGAGAGCAAAAACATGGATGAAGGCTTAGTCACAGTAAAAAACAAACAAACCACACCATGGATGTGCCAGTGGTGACTGCAGAAGGGTTTGACTCCAGTCCTGTCATCTGGATTTTTTTTCAGCCAGCCGTTTTTTGTTTTTGAAAAGCCTTCTGCTATCCATGATCCTGTATCTTTCACACAGTGGTATAACAAGTAAAAATTCACGAGGTAGAACATTCCCCAGCATGCATTCTGCTGTTTTTAGTCTTTTAGATCTGTTGTAATCTCCATGGAGAACTATGGTTCGAATAAAAGCACAATAGGTCTAAAAGGATTCTGGTTTAAAACAAATCACTGGATGTTTGTTTATATTCATCAGCAGTATTTTAAGCTGCTTCATAACCCACAAAGGCCACAGTCCAGTTTAGAGAGCAGAAAGGAAAGTGCTGCACGCCCAACAAAACATACCCACTTTTTCAAGAGGAAGCAAGTACCTCCTCCGATTGCCATGGAAATCAAGGTGGAGGCAAGCTGGATTCATTCCAGTGAAGAGGAAACTCTGCCAGTTTCAACATTTAAACGGGGCCAGGCTTGTTCCTAATTGCAGAATAGACACATTTTTTTCTTTTCTTATGCCATAGCTTTTATGCAGCATTTCAAGAGACTCTGGGCTTTTGGTAAGAGTTTTCCACACCAAGTTGGCCTTAAATTAACTGATAAGGTAAAGGTGGGGCTGCCATATCTGGGCTACGAAACACCACTAGGTGGCAACAAAGTAATAATGCAAGCAAGTCTTAGCTTTTTGCTGCCACCTAGGAGGTGTCTGGAGTTTTACAGCCCAGTTCCAGCCATTTCAGATGTCTCTTCTTCACCAAACTCAAGGATTCCCAACTTGAACCCTAACAGTAGTAGGGGTAGTAGTAGACTACCCCTACTACTTTAGTAGACAAACAGAATCCTCGGTAAGGATAATGCTTGCTCTTCCATAAAAGCAAAGAACATCAGAACTCTTTAAAGAAGTTTTATAATCCCAAGAAAAGAGGTGGTTGCTTTAAGTCATATCTATATTTTTTTAAGGAGCTGCAGTAATATATTTGGGAACATATTTATGCTCCTTCACGGAATCAAATGGTGCATTCTGCACAAACCTAACAGACATGAAACTAATGGAACAGACACCAGCAGCCTTCCTAGAAGACAGGTAAACAGAAATATAGTGTCCACTTGTTGCTCTGTTGAAGCACCAATGATTCAGTCACGTGCTCGGTTATTTGTGTATTGTCCCATTTAGTTCAGCAGCACCTCTCTGTCCATAGAGATGTATTGACTTTTAGAAACTGTTGCACGTTAAGGAGAGTGAGAAGAATCCAAATCAGGGATTAGTCAATTGCTGTCCTGTAGAACTGGGCAATTCATGAATGCATCAATAAAGGAAATAAATAGCTACATTTCAGTGGGTTTATGGGAAAGAAACCTAAATAATTTGCAAATGGAAAAAAATGCCATTGATTCTTTATATTCATTGGTTATATTCACACAATACTGAACCACAAAATAACTACGCTTTAATCTAGCTGTGTTAAGTGAATCCAACCTGTATGGTTCAGTGTGTTGTGTTAATCCAAGAAATGTGGCCAGGTAAATAACCTGGTTAACCATAGGTAAGTATAGTGTGTAAATGCAGCCATGATTTCAGGGTTATTTATCACATTTCTACCAGACCACAATCAAATGAATCTCAGCATCTTGCACAGAATATAAAACAAATTAAAACATCCATGAGCTAAACCTGAAAGAAGCCATCCACAATGTAGAACGGAAAAAAGGGGATAAAAAGATGGTGTCATATATAAGCCTAAGAGAATGATCTCCAAAAAAATCCAGTCTTTTAAGAATTTCTAAAAAACCAGCAGGGAGTGGGTTAGTCTGATCGACTGTTTTTCAATCTCAGCAACTTTAAGATGTATGGATTGAAGTCCACACATCTTAAAGTGGCTGAGATTGAAGTCCACACTGGGGTCATCTCTATCAGGAGGCTGCTTCAAAGCATCAACACTGTCACGGAAAAGCAGCTTCAGGCCCCTGCCCCAAACCTCTCAAGCCCAACAACTTTTTAAGGAGTTGAAAATGGAAACAGGTTATTTTTAATTCAATACAGTTTAAGAGCTTTTATCTTTAGCTAATTAATTTCTGATTAACTTTTATCATGATTCTTCTTCTGCGGCATCAGAATCCCTGCAGCTGCTACATATTTTGTAAAACAACGTGGAATACCCTGGTTGCGTATCAACCACGCTTACAGGTTAAAATACAGCTGACTAGTCTGTGGATCATTTGTAAACACAGCCAGCAAGATTATTTTATTCAGCCAGTTGTGCAAATTCAGGCAACTCAGTTAATTCAGTAAATTTAGTCCACTTAAGCAAGAATTAATCTGTGTGCAAATACAGCCCTCATGTCCATCACATCCTGTTTGGTCATTTATGTGGATTTAAACTGTATTGCATGCCACAGAATTTAGTGATTGGGTTTCATTTCTTGTAGTTAATAAACCTATGCCTATCCAACCTGTTCCTACAGCTGACAGTTTAAAAGCAGAATTCACACTTCAGCTCTTACCTGGGTTTTCACGATCCCTTGCATACCTTCCATACATACAGTGATTTCACACAAAAGCAATCACGTACAGTGTGAGCATTTATATATATGCCTCACAGAGATGAGCCCTTAAGGTGATACAAACACCAACCCAACAAGCTAGCTGAAAAAGGCTGAAGACAAATGAAAAATAGAATGTTATTTTATTACCTCTACAAACATTAAAACTACAGCAACTACCAAACGTAATAATGCTTTAGGTTAATTCAGGAATGAATCAGGTAGGTATTGCTTGTAGGAGAAGCAAGGAAGGATTGATCCTCTGAATTGAGATCTGAAAACTACAGAAATCACTATTGTAAGTGAAAATCCATTCATCCAGGGACAAAAATTGATATTAAAAATTGATATTTGAGAGAGGGGAAATCAAAGATTTATCTACTACAGATGCTATAAACAAAGCCGCTTTGCCATTTTAATGCTACAGATGTTGCAGGATGTTCCATGCCTCATGTCGTCCCACTGCTTTATTGAACCATTTGTGACAAAAACTGTTGGTACTGTGCTCGAGCAGGAAAGTGGTCAGCCGGTCTGTTATAAGCAGTCCACACTGGTTCTCCAGCAAACAGTCTCATTGCCTTGACATAATTCTGGGAGGAAAAACACAGGCATTCACACTCAGTATAATTCACTTTCACAAAAGATGTGGATCAAACTACCAAAATGCTGAAAGAATTAAGGTCAAAACTATCTTGAGGAAGTTTTGCCACAAACAGTATTAAAGAGATTTTTTGAAAAAGAAAAAAAAGCATTACAAATATAATAATTAGGAAGAGAAATGAAAGTGGTTTTACTCAAGCCTTAGAAAATATCCAGACTTTTAAAAATATAGCTATAACCCATCATCTGATTTTTTTTGCCTGGTTCGCAATATTTACATTGTGGAAGAAATAATAGTGATGTAAATCACTATTCAACTCAGCCAGGTACCAGAGTCAATATATCTAAAGTCCCATCAGGGAAAGAAGTTCTTTGGACATTTGGCAGATTTAGAATTCCCTCATTTTATCGGCCTGAGTCTGTAAGAAACTGAAATTGAACAGCTGGTGCTCTTCTCACACATGATCTCAAGCTAGAGATCATGCTCAAAGTTGGCATGCATGTTGTTCTTCAAAGCATGGGAGCAGGAAAACTGTGGCCATCAAAGAACAAAGTACTGCTTCATTGATGATATTCCCTATTCCACAGGGTAAGAGAGCATGGGGCACTTCAAATGTTTCCAAACTCTGACCAATGTGAGGGATGCTGGAAGTTGTGGCTCAACATCTGGAGGATCATAGAATCACCACCCTGGTGCAGAAGAGTGCCCATGGAATAACTCACAAACTGTTGCTCAGTATCCGCTTATTGGGTATAAAACAGGGCTGCCAGATCTGGACTGAAAAAATCCAGGCAACCTACAGATGTCAGGAAAGAATTACAGGGAACTCTAACTCATGGCAGCCATCTTATTGTCATGCAATTTTTGTAGCCAAACCTGGTAGCCTTAGCTTTAAGTTGCGCTGAATTCAAGATACCGCCTCTGCATAAATGCTGTAGGTCTGAATTGTCATCTCACTGGGCAAGTACACCATTAATTGCATAAAAGTTCTCAGCATAAGGCTCAGTTGAAGGTACACTCTGAATGTGTGCGTGAGTAATATGCTCATGTACTCTCTTCACCCCACACTGTTTCTTTTCCCCTCTTTCATGTTAGAGGAGGGAAAGTCTTTATGGCTTCTTAAACGACACCTTTTTGCGACAAACCAACCAAGACTGGAGTTTATATTCTTTCTACAAACATGGGCCACTCTAAAGCCAGAGCTTGCTGGTTCAGCTATCAAGAGAATACAGGAAGTAACTGGGCACGTGATGACTGAGTTCACACACTATACTGAACTGCAATCAAGCAGCAGACTTGGAATTGGATTATCAGGGACAAGTCCCAGGCCAGCCTGAGCTTGCTTTTTAACAGCAGTTTCACTCTAAGCACCCAACAAGAAACCACTGTCCCAGTACCCCCACCTCACCCAGCCAGAAAAACCTGAGAGCTTTATTTCAAAAAGGAAAAAAAGATTTCAGAGGACCACCTTTTATCTGTCAATGCAGAAGCCAAGTAATGTCTTTTCTTTCTTTTTTTTCAATTTTCAAAAAGGTACCAGCAGGAGCTGGGTAAGAAATAGCTCGTTTCATCATGCGCATGAAAATGGGATGCAGTCTCTTGCCTCTGACGGACAGCTCATGCTATAACCATGTTAGCCTTTAAGCTACTACCGAATTATTGGTTTATATTTTTACATGTTAGCCCCTGTTCAGTAACAGCATTTTAGCAACAGCTGCTTAATATTTAAATTAAGACTTTTAAAACATTCAGTGGCTTATAAAAGCATTCTGACTTTTAAAAAAATCCAAGTCCAATTTGATTTGCTATTTCTAATGCCTCTGCAGTTAATAATGTGTGTTTGAGTTTCCTTTACTCAGGAGGTATGCGGGGGACTTAAAATTCTGAAATGAAATGAAATGAAATACAATATGTAGTAGCAACCTTAACAAAATAGAACATATTTACTGCAGTACAGTGACTACCACAAAACCTGGGGTTCCAGAAACACTGCCTCTGCATATTCTTCCCCATGTAGCAAAACCAACAAAGTGATCCCACCAACTGCTCTCCAATCCATGGCTACCGAGGACAGAGACCCAGCAAGATACTAGCTGCTTCACCCTTCGGTTCTGAATGCTTTGTATCCCACACAAGCCAAACAACAGAACAAGCAGAGCAGATCTCCTGAGGCTCCAATGGATAGTTGCTATGGTAACACCAATCCCTTACTAAAGATGGATTTTATGACAAGGCTGGAGACACAAGTGCTCCATTTATCTATAAAGATAGCAGTTCAGAGCAGAGAAAGCATATGTGCTCTAATACTATCTTTCCCTGAACCTCAGGAATTGATTTCTAAGCCCAGAGAGTTGCTTGGAAGGCAGGCAAGTTTTCGATACCACACTTTGATTTCAAGCAAGGTAACTCACCAATACCAAATCAATGCTTTCCCATCAGTAATAGGTTAAAACTGTTAGAACCGGTTATGATTTTGTAGATGTTACTTCTTCAAGAACCTAGCCACACATTTCTACATTACTGATTCATACCCGAGGACTCAGTGCTCTGTTTTTATATGCTGGTCTACATCTGCCTCAACTCTATGTGGATTTTATTTTATTTTTTTAAAAAGCTGTTTCATACAGATTCATCCAGTGTGAATCGGTGATAGATGCCAGCAGGAAGTGTGATCATGTCGCCCTTTTCCATGGCAATCCGGATCCATTTGTCATCTTTATCACGAACATCAAAATATCCATTTCCTTCCAGGATGTAGCGAATCTCATCATCCAGGTGTAAGTGCTCTTCATAAAATATTTTTATCTAGGAGAGGGAAGGAACAGAATAAACAAGATTTCATGGAGCAGGTCTATTACAAGCACTAAGCACATTGCTTGCTGCACAGATTGCAAGATGCTACTTCCAAAAACCCGAAGCTTCTGTTACTAGTAAGCTGTTTAGCGTTTATATGGTGGATTTTGAACATTCCAAATTTTCTCAGAATTATTCTTACAGCAATCCTACAGAGTAGATCAGCACAGTTATTGCAGATAAAGGATGCAAGTTCTTTGGCCTGTGAATTCCTAGTTGGGGGACATTTAAAAAGCAAATTCCGAGATATCCTTACATTCCATCAGCCTCAGTTTGAGACCAGCTGTTCGTAACATTAAATCTATGTATGCCATGTATTTAAACACCAGTCTAGTTGTTGCAGATGACAAGAATTACATAAAAGCAAATGAGCATGTTGCCAGAAAATGGCTGTATTCTTTCCCTGCTCTGTGCCCAGCATAGAACTTAAGCTCTTTGTTCCTCCTTGACCAGATGGCAGCATGCTAGTAAAAACTGTGTGCAAGCTGGCTACTTGGGAGGCCTATTTCCATGAGTGAAGCACCCTTCTAAATGGTTTGAACGGTCCTATTAAATAGGTTGTCATCTCTAGGCAGAATGAAGTCATATTTCTCTAGATGGCATTACTTTCCAAATACACACTTCATAAAAATCTCACATTTCATGTGCCCACCAAACAGATCATACTACGTCTGCTAGCTGTATTCAACTTAATATTATCTAGATAAGTTAGGATTACAACTTCCAAAATTTCCAGCTGACCTTTGGTTATACTGGTGGTAGATTCTAAATTGCAGTTTCTAAAGTACTTAGAGGGCACCAGACTGTATAAGGATGATTTTTCAGCATTTTTTTTTCTAACACATGAAAATATAAAATTAACTGATACCAACTTATTTGAATGAAAATGTTCATCTCAGTTTACTGAAGGACATTTATGGAGAACCCCTGATTAAGGTTTGTCCTTCCATTAGACTGATAACTGGCTCAAGCAGTTGATTTGAAGTGCTACAAAAGCAAGCAACTTATCAGTTATTTCGTTTATTGCTTTGGGGTGCATGCCCTGACAAACATTCACAAGATTTTCTGCCCCAAGTGCCAAAGGGTTTTATCCAGCCTTGAACACCATGTGCCTCAACTTTCTCAACCTAGCTTTACTCTAGATCAGTGTTTCCCAACCTGAGCAACTTTGTGCTGTGTGGACTTCAACTCCCAGAATTCCCTAGCCAATATGGCCATTGCTAAGAATTCTGGGAGTTGAAATCCACACATCTTAAAGATTCCTAGGTTAGGAAATACTGCTGTAGATATACAGACTTCATCTCCCAGAATTTCTTACCCAGCACAGCCAGGCTGAAAATTCTAGAAGTAGAAATTCACACATGGAAATCCATCCATGACAGAGGATAGCTGTCAGGATAGCTCTGAGTGAGAAAACATCCTTGTGGCTGCTCTTCTTTCTCCACAGGTAGCCAAGACCCTTCTTGTGCAGCCTTCTCTTCTGGGCATCTCTCACTTTGGAGAGCTTTGCCTTACACCTCTACTTCCATCAGATGTTTATTCTATGCTAGAATGTCTGAATGTACCTTGGCCTTAGACAAGTCACACTCTGTTAGCAAGCACTGTCCTCCATAATTGCCCTTGGTTTTATTTTCTGGAAATCAGGGTGCCATCTTTCCTAAGTCCTCCTATATCTCAGTCTGGATGGAATAAGAATCTGGAGAGAAATAACATTAGTGCTCTGGCTGTCTAATAAATGAAATGCCCACCTCTGTTTCTCCTTATTATCAGATTCAGTGAAGCTGAGGAGCTGCTAAGCCTAATCAATAATAAAATAGATGGGGGGGGGCAATAAACCAAACTCAATCCAGACAAAACTGTGGTGCCATTGTTAGGGTCTGACATGGGTCTGAGTGGTGTTTGGGGCTTTAAACTCAATTAGGTTTTAAAACAAAGAAGTAAAACCTTAAATCATGCTCAGAAAAATCAAGTACTACTTTCACTTGTTCAAGACAAAAGTATGCTAAACCTTTCAACTAGGTTCCCCTTAACAATATAGCTGGTGCCTTCTACTAATTGATACTTCAACCTAATCTTCAAGGTCAGGCCCATGTACAATGCATTATAGTTATCCAGTGATAATACTTCAAGAATATTTGGCAGATCTCTAAGGAATTCAGTGGCTAGATTTACATTGATTTACACTGAATTAAGCCATAATAAGTTTGTTTGGTTTGGCTTAGTGTAATGTGCAACCTCTAATTGTCGCTTATCCAATAAAACCATATTTAACAAGACCATGGTTTAACACAGTGCATGAATCTAGCCACCATGACTTAGTTCACAAATCATGGTCTTAACATGATGTGTATTAACATGTGTAAACTCAGTCACTGGATCTACACTCAAAATGCAGTGTTCTCTGACTTGTTGTCCTCCACATGTGTTGGAACCGCAACTCTTAGCTAGAATATCGCTTCACACTCCGAGAACACAAGGGTGGGGAGGGCTGAACTCTTGCTACAAATAAATCAGTAGGTCCAGATGCTACGGATACATGTCAAAGGCACGTTATCTTCCTTCCTGCCTGTCTAGATTGGCTTTTTCTTTCTTGTAACTGCTATAAGAAGTTTATTAACATAAACCAAGAAAAGGAACTACAAAAACAATTCTTGCCCTTTTTAAACTTCACAGATAACCTTTTGCAATGCCAGTTCTGAAATGGCAGGCTCCATTTTATTCTTCTATCTCATGAAATTTATCAACTCTCTGGCTAAGAACTAATTTATTTCTATATTCTCTATTCTGCAGTCTGGTATCTGATAGTAAGAATAAATAGAAGAGTGATAGAATGAAATCTATCTCTGGGAAGGTATGACATTAGAAAGGGTCAGATTTCAGAGATTGTAGTGAAATCAAAACTTCAATTATTTGTTTTGTTTCTGCATCTGTGTATACAGCTTCTTTTGAAAGATTTTTGACAATGAATCCTTCATACACAGTAGCCTAACTACTTTTCAGAAGTCAGGTTATTATCATTCTTCCTATTACTGGTAGAAGAATATCTAAATCTAGTAAATAAAAAACCACCAATGACAGAAGCATTTTGACTTTCCTAGGATAATTTGAAAAATTAATGCTAACCACAACAAGTGACAATATACATAAAATGAATCAAGAGAAAGAGACTAGGTACGCATTCTTAATTTTCTCCAACCATGAACTAAAATATTCATAGCACTTCAAATGCATTGCCTTGACAACCACGTAAGAAAATTAAAGAGAAGTCCCTCTTCCTGAATAATCACTCTAAAAATCCCATACTTGTTATTTCCATTTGTGACCAACTCTTTGGAAGCCTGATATATTGTACACACTCTTATGTCAGGAAACACTATTACTGGTTGTAATCCTCAACTCAAATGATCATTCCTCTGTCTATCCATAGGGGTGATGTGGAAAAAGACATACAATATGGAAGAGAAAGTGTTTTACAATTTGAACAAAGCTCTAAAGTGTTAACTGGATATCTGGGTTTGCTTTCTATGCCATGCGGTGCTTTGCTTAGCCATTATTTATTAAATAAACCACAGTCACAATTGGCTGGGTTCATAGAATATTCTAAGCTTCACAAACATATTTATGGCTTAGCCTCAGCGTAATCTGTGAACTCAGCCGCTGTTCTGAGAGAGCAAGTGATTTATATCTGGTTTCGAGGACTGCTTCAACTTTAACAGAAGCAGCAGAAATTAAATGTGTGCCATTTCTCCAGGCATTAAAAAAATGTATTTATTTAAAAGTAGTCCATTCTGTCATTCAATTCATATGACAGAATTATCTGGCTGTTAATGTTACCAGAACCTTGTTATAAAAATTAAAAAGCAGGTGAAAAGGAGTCTACACCCATACACCCACATGTTCCTGTTAGAGCAGATATGAAGTGGGACTTACTTCTTAAACAAAGGGAATCCACTGCTCAGATATCAGAGTAGAAACTTTTAAAACTGGCACACACTCTAGTGGTAAATTCCAGCCTTTACAATCCTCCTAAAGCTCAAACAAAGCCACAGTTATTACCTTCTCTTCATAATTTGGCAGCGTGTCTTTATGTATCGTTATTATATCCATCCAGGAGTAGTTCTTCTCCTTACGAATTTTTGCTAATTCTGGGTCAGTCTCATAGTTGTCAGCATCCAACTACAAAATGAAAAAAAGGGTTGTCTTGGTTCACTAGTTCAAAGCAAGGCAACTGGAATTCTGGTGTACAAGGAAATTAATATCTCTCTAAAGCATTTTTTTCCCTTAGTCCTGCTGTATTGATGAGGAAATACGGCTTGTTTAAATATAGTTATGCTTCACATACAGTTGAAAACTGGGTCTCCCAAGGCTCAGCACAACTAACAAGGTTTTACAACAGTAGTAGTTCACATGTATATACTGCCAGGAGACTTTCCAAATATTTCACATGCAACCTTGGACCTTTCTCTTCTTGAAAGTTCACCACTGTATCTTTAAGAAGTGGTCCAACATTAGTAAAAAAAAAAAAAAAAGATTTCAGGGGTCAAGGAAAAAAGTGGAATACCCAGTTTTGATAACCAAGACTTTTACATCCTTTTGGACACTTGAGATTGATAAAGCACAATACCAATTTAGTAAAGTAAAACTGTCCTAATTATCATAATATTTCCTCCAGATAAATAATTTAAACCACAGATGTATGCCCACTGACAAAACATAGATATATAAAAAATATTGTAAGAGCTATCTTTATTAGGAATGTCAAAATGACACAAGAATGTGTATAAGTTTTTAAATTTTCCTGAACACATCATTCTTCCTAAACTTAGTGATTTCCATTTATATATGCCGCACTGATTTGTAAGAGATGATCCAACACTTATGAGGAGTATCAAGTTACAAAAGACTGTTAGGGTGGTAACAAAAATAGGATACAGGAAGAAGCAGAGGTCCAGTATTTAGGCTAGATATTATGGCCATGAAGTCTTCACTTTAAAATCTCAATGAAGACTACGAACTGAGTGCGTGAGTCACTACTGACTTAATTCTGGAATAAAGGAAATCCTCCCAGTTCTGGAAAGCACAACATTTACCAAATTAACTGACAACTTTTGAAAGAGGTCTAGGAGCCACTTTCAAGACTTAGAGGCTGAAGGGAATGGTACCTTCAAAGTCATGCAAAGCAACAAATTTTCCTGATTCTGTGAGTATTCATGTATTGACATTATACCCCACAATTCTGCCAACACCCCCATCCCGTCAGCCTAATCGTATGAATGGCTACTGGCCGTCTCAAATGATCCCACAATTGAAACATTAATCTAAGTACATGGATCAAGGATCATCAGGATTGCTTATTTAGAGGATAAAACATCTTCAGAGATTAGCAATAATATTCTTATTTTCTGGATCATTTTGATTCTTCAGAAAGGAGATTAGGACAAAGCCAGCCTTCTAATGTCATTATAAATTTTCCAGGGAAGGGAAAGCAGTACCTCAAGAGTTTTAAGCCCTTGCTTAAGTCCTTCCCTGGATTTCCCTCCCGGCAGCTTGCCATCACTGACAGGGCAGCTTTCCAAAACAACAAAATGAGTCTTAGTAGGGAAAGCAGCATGAACCCAGCAAACAAATGAGATTAAGTTTAAATGTTGACAAGACTAATAGGACTTTCAAAGAATATTTATCAATTGCTGAAACTGCCCAGGTCCAGATTAACAGGATTTGCCCTCTACATGCAATGGTTCTACTTCAAAGGAAGCAGTGGTAGTGTAAACTCAGAGAAGTACAATTGTATCTATTCTGCCCATCAGAAGTCATCAGCAGATTGCCCAGGCTTTCTAATGCAGTTTTCCTGTTTTCTAGATGTGTTGGATTTCAATTCCCATAATCCCAAACCACAATGACCTTCGATTACAGGAGCTGAAATCCAACACATCCAAAGGGAATCAGGCTGAGGAAAGCTATTCCAAGGTAACAACTTTCCACTTTTTTTCAGGTGTACAATAATGTAACCACCAGAACAAATGTGCGGGAGTTTTTTTTAAGATACAGGTCTTTAAGGTCTAAATTAGCCAATTCTTTCTAAATATAATACAAATTATTGATAGATGACTAGGAAAATAGTAGTCCTTCATGGATTTCATACCTGGAGCGATGAAGGGCCTTGCATATCCCAATGACACCATAAGCAATACCCCTGGAAATGTTTATGCTCATAAAGGTCACCCATTATAAACAGGCCACATCCAAAGGACCAGATTAAATACGACCCACTGGAAAATTGCAACTAACCCCAATATTCTGCCTTAGAAAACCAAATGGGCATGACAACTAGGACAATGACAACATGATACTGGAAGATACACCCCTCAGGTCAGAAGGTATTCAATGGGAAGCATGAGGGGAGGGAGAGAGGGAGGGAGAGAGGGGGGGGAGAGAGAGAGAGAGGGGGAGAGATAGGTAGAGTGTCAAAACCTCATGAACTAAAGCTTCCTTGATTTGTCAGAGCAGAAATATCAAGACTGAACACTGACATTCTGGGAATCACTGAACTGAAATGGTCTGGAATGATCATTTCACATCAGTGGAGCATCAGATCTTCTACTGTAGGAATCACAGAACAAATGGAATAGGCATCATTATTAAGAAAACAGTACCAAAATCAGTGCTTAGTCATGTTTACGTTCTCAACTCCAAGGCAAGCCATTCAACATTTCAGTGATCCATGTCTATGCTCCAACCACAGATATAGCTGATACTGAATGGTTCTGTACCAATTTGCCCCACCTTTTGGACACCACACCTTAAAAAAGTATATTAATTATACACTGAAGTACTACTAACAGGAACAGTTGGTACTGGGCATATAAAACCAAGCAGGAGACAGACTAACACATTTCTGCCAATAAAATTCAACATTTATAGCAAATACCTTTTTTTCAACAAAGTAAAAGATGACTCTACCCATGGTCATCATTGGATGATCATCAATATCAAACCAACTATATATTCTTCAAGTAAAGATGCAGAATGAGCATGAAACTGAGCAAACTCAGGGAGGCAGTGAAGGACAGGAAGGCCTGGCGC